TCCTCCACTTTTCTTTGTGTGTCTTACTTGAAGCTTTTGAAGTCTCTTAGTGATTTGTTGTGTACCTCTGGATAGAAAGATGAATATTAATAACAAAATTAATGCATAATAGTAAAACCTCACCCCACTCATCCCTCGTTCCCACTTTTTCTACAATTCCTTGGGTTTAATTATCAGTTTTCATTTATTATTACAAATCAACTCATCAGATGATTTTTCCATTTATATATGAAGACTTCCTCTCACTCTCAGAATATGTGACTTGATCTCCAGATCAGTTTTGTTTGATTTATTTAAATATATAAACATTTTTGTGAAGCTAAAAGTTGCAGTACAAGAGCTAATTCGTAAATTCATCAGGTATTTCTACCTCAGAGGTGACTCTTAGCTAGGGAGCTGAGAGAGTCTGAGAGGTTTTTTATATATCTGGCAGATGGATGCAACAGCCCTGTCAAACATCCAAGATGCCTCAGTAGTATCATACCTTTTTATATTTTCTTTCTGACTTCGTTGCAGTTTCCCCTCTGATTTCTGATTTTTTTTTGATCCTGTTGCTCATAATTTCTTGTCCATCTGAGAGCTTTTGTTGCTGGCTATCTGTTTAAAACCTTCTTTCTCAGTTATTAGTTTTCCTATCTCATTTTTGTCTCGTGTGCTCTTTTTATGCATGCTATTATTCTGCAGAAGCCTGCGTCCTTAGGTTGAAAAGTCAAAGTCCTTCTCTTGACTCCATCTGTGCAACCATGTGGTCATCCAGTGTACTTTTCTTCTGAGCTGGGCCAATTTACTGATTTTCTGATTCATGCTACAGAAAATGAGTGTCCTTTTTAAAATTTTAATTCTTTTAAGTCTTATATCTAAATTCATTTAATACTTGAATTGACAGAATATCCTAATCAGTTTATGTAATGATTAATATTAAACTGGTCTGATGCACAGAGCTTTCTTTTACATTTTTGGTTTTTTTCTTTCCTCCCTTTTCCTGTCTTGTGCAGTTTTTAAAGAACTGTTAACACGGTTGTCAGAGGAAAAAAGAAATGGTGCTCCCCACCTCCCTAAAATTGGTGATATTAAAAAGGCGAGTCGTTATTCCATCCCAGACCTTGCTGTTGATGTGGAGCAGGTAATTGGATTAGAAAAAGTAAATAAGAAAAGTAAAGCCAACACAGTTGGGGGAAGAAATAAATTAAAGAAGATACTTGACAAGACTCGAATCAGTATCCTGCCTCAGAAACCATACAAGTGAGTTTTTTTTATTTCCTCTTAAATATTTATTTTGTCTTAACTTTTAATAATTTCTCTTGATACTTATAATTTGTCATGATACTTTTTTTACTTATTAATGCAAATCATGCTTATATCTGGAAAAATATACTAGAAAATACTAGTCTGAATATTTGAATTATCATAGAGTACTAACAATGCAGTTCCTGACGTCAATATGGATGTATTTTACCTCTTCTAGACAGACTGATGGCACAAATACTTTTTCATGTCATTTACTGTTTTCTTTTAAGAGGACTGTTAACTGGAAGCATCCCAGGCAATTAATTTCAGAATAACTCTGTGAGCAGGCTTGCTTGCAAATGGTTGATAGGAGCAACAATTTCAATTTGTCCCCATTCCAGTCATCTATAAGCATTTCCATGTACTGCTGTAAGGGAGATTGAGGTTAAAATTTTAACTTGGGTTCTTTGATAGAATTAAGTATGTTTTTAATGAAAGCTAAATATGGTATGTGATATCTTTTATTCTATGAACGCATTTTAGAAAGAGAGTTCTGATAAGGATTGTTGGAAACAATAGAAGAATGAGTTTTATATGATTTTATGGGAATCTGGTTCTTGGCCAAGACAGATGGCATTGACAGGGAAAAATTAATTGTAGAAGGTAGTCGATGTGTAATCAGTGTTTTCTTTTGCATTTTTCTTTTCTGTGTCCCATTGAGGAAGAAATCTATTCTATGTAAAGTCATTAAAGAGACATTTGTGTTAAAAATCTGGGATTTTTTCCTGCTATTACTTTAGGTATTTCCTACAAAATAAATACTATTCTGAAACATTAAAAATAGAATATTGGTAATGTAAAGGTTAAAAGAATATAAATTATTATATCCAAATAGTGGATATTTCTTAAACTGACACAGATACATTCGCTAGAGGAGAATCTGTAAATCCTCTTGTTTGTCTTCAGAATGTTTGCTTTTATTTCCATATATTGGTCTTGTATGATTGTTCCTCTGCTGAGCCATGCATACTTAGGCATGATTTTTTGCATTGTTCACCATTGTTCACAGCTTTTGCATAATTTTTTTTTTCTTTGATTCCTTTCATTTTTGCACTTTTTCTGTGCAGGGACCTCTTTGGGTAAGACTCAGAAAAACAGTACACTTGACCTATTTTCTTTTCCTTTTGCTAGCTTTACTTCGTGTGTTATATATAGCAATTTGTCTGCAAAGCCTGTTGACGTTGTTTGTGTCTGCACGGTTTCTGCATAGACATGTGTAGCTGTAGACTTACCTGTTCATGCTTTTTTCCCCCCTTATTGTGTAGCAACTTCTATCTCGTTTTTCCTAATCATCAATGGTATTGCATATATGAAGGCACTTAACCTATTTTCATGTGTTTTTAAATACCAAAAGTCAAGAGGGATGAAAAAGCTGATTTAGTTGTTAAAGTAGATATTTGAACATTTCATGAGTCAGCTAGCTTATGAGGTGAAACTGTCCACCTCTTTCTGAACGTGAATAATGCAGAGGTCTCCCATGCCTCCAGAATGTATCCAGATAAAACCAATCTTTAAACTAGAATGAGGTCACTCTTAAAGAGAGCCTGTCTGCTTCATGAGACATTAAATCAGAGATAATGCCTTCCTTCAGTCTTGCTTTTTAGTCCAGTAATGTCAGGTAACTTCCTGATCAGAGCAAACAGCACCATTTCCTCTGCTTCTGCTGGGAAATCTCTCAGCCAGCCATGAGGCATCTCTCGAAGTGTGCTGCTGGCTACAGCCTCCACTCGAGCTCTTTGCTTACTTCTAATCCAGGGTGGTTGTGTGATCTATAGGCTCAGTTGCTCCAAATAAGGATTAAACACAACCCCCATCTCCACTTCTAGCAAAGTTCTGCCTGGTCCATAGTGCAGCATCCCAGACAAAGAAGCAGCCCCCCTCTCTCCTCTCTGTTTGCAGCCCTGCGGTGGGTTGCACAGTATGCTGTGTTTGGAAGGAAGAAGCATTCAGACAGCTCCGCTATTCCGTTATCCCTTCCACC